ATTTCGGGTTGGTTTGGCTTTTGTTGGGTTTTGAGTTTTATTTTTTTTTTTTGCTATTCTTTAATTGGTCTCTCAACTTCCAGCAGATAATGCTGATTGCTTTGATGGTGACTGGTTAACCCAAGGAGTGTGAGATCAAAGGAGCGCAGTTGGCTTGTGCGCTGCTCAGTTCAGAGATTTTTAGCCTGGGTTGACTCATAATTACAAGAATTCCCAATTGGCTGGAAGCAGATCCTGCAAAAGAAACTTGCTGCTGAGCAGTGGGATAAAGAACCACGTGTGAAGTCCTGCCTGGACAATGAAGACACCAAAGCATGAGCATTAAAGAGCAGAGCAGCAAAGAATTCATATGAGTTCACAGACTTTCTCACTTCAAGCCAATTGTCCTGATTTCCACCTCATCATAATTTCTCTGTTCAACTCCCTTGAGTCCAACTCTGCCCTGGGCCCTCCAGCTCCACTTTCCCCTTTGCCCTTCCCTACCTGCCCCGTGCAACACTCCCACTCTCATCCAAAATCGGGAACTGCTGATGTTTGGACACTGGTAACATGGAATATGGCAGGATAAGCACCATCCCCAACGAGCTGCTGTTGTTTTACTCCTGGTTTTTGCAACCCAGGGCTGTTGTTTCACTCCCCGTGTGAAACCAGACTGGGAGAGCGAGTCCCGGAACGCACCAGGAAGGGACAGAGGACGGTGGACAATCAATCAAAGCCCTAAATCAGCGTCACTCCTGCCCTTCAAGGGTCTTTTTCCCTCTACTATCATGTGTGATCCTTTCTTGATTCATTAATGTCAGCTGAGCAGCAAATGCTGCAGCTGCTGGCTCGCTCAGAGCTGCTGGACCCCTTCCACGGCTCTTTCCTCTTCCCTTTTAGGAAGAAGTGGCAGAACGCAGCTGCCTGGGAGGCTTTATTTTGGGCTGGAAGATCTCCAAACAGAGAGGGGGGAGAAAAAAAAAAAACACAACCCTGAACATGCTGTAAATCAGAGATGGCCTTGAACCAAATCCCCTGGTTCTCAAATATCAACAGGCAGGGGAAAGATTCAGACCAAGGCGTGGATTGTCCAGAATATGCCATCTCAGGAACGTGGATGGGGCTGAGAGTCACACAAAGATGGGAATAACACCTCTGTGAATTCTGATTTTTTCCCCCAAAGTAAAGCTAACACACTCTCCAGTCACCCTAAATAAATCCCCTGACTCTTAACATCTCTCTGTATGGATCCTGCTTCAAAAGGAGCTTGAAAATGAGTCACTTTTCCCTCTGGGATATTTTTAAGACAATGACAAGGTCCCCTTAAAAACTCTCAAGGGATGCTGAGAGAATTCAGCGTTTTTTACAAACCTCTATAAAATATTTCCAATCTTGACCTTGCAAAAAAAACCCAAAAACCCACAAACAAAAAACCCCAAACAAACAAACAAAAAAAAAACCCACAAAAAAAACCACAACCAGAAACCCCCCAAACAAACAAACAACAAAAAACCAAACAAACAAACCAACTAAAGCAGAACTGTGTTATGAAGGACTATTTCTTATGGACACTTTCCCAATTGAATAGCCTTGTTTTCCTCATAAGAAAGACTGCAGAATTTTTTCTCCAAATCCAATATTTGGCAGCTTTTTTTCCTGTCTCAAAGGATATTTAGATTGGTCCTAGTGAAGACCATTTCCACCTACAGTTTCCAGGGATAAAATAGACACAGGAGTGAGAAAGATGCTGGAACTCCTGATTTTGCCAGGCCTGTGGCAGGAAGGCATCTTACTTCAGGACAAAAAAGTGGTAAATACTTTTTATTGGATTTCTAGGATGAGATAAAAAGGGCCTTATGCCTTCATGCATTCATTTTTAGGACATTTTTAGCACGAAGTCAACGAATTGAAATACAGAATTTATGCAGGATAGCACCCAATGCAAAGAACAAACACAGTAAATAAAATACTCTGTAGAGGCACAGGATATAAATACAGAAAATGAAAGAGGGGGGAAAAAATCAAGTGAGCTATATTTAATGCGGATATTTAACCATGCATAGTTTATTCCAGTTGCTTCTCTGGGAATGTGGCTTGTTTTAGCACCAGCTGGTTCTACTTTTTAGGAGTAGAATGAGGAAAAGTTGTTCAAAAAGTTTTAATGAAAGCTTTAATTGGTGTGGTAGAAAATAAGGAGTTGTTCCTGGAAAGAGAGAGGAAGGGAAAGGCAGAATGAGAGAGCAAAAGGGAAAGAGGGAAAGAAGAGAGAGTTAAAGAGAGAAAAGAGAGAAAGAAACAGAGAAAAAGATAAAGAAAAAAAGGAGAGAAGAAGAAATATTTTCACATCAGACTATCTGCAGAGAGCTTGCTTTTGACTTTCATACTCTATTTAAAAATACAAAATTGGGAGCATTGCAAAAGAGTTCCCAAATTAGCTTTTTAATAGAGATTGGAAGCTAAAAGGGGCCGAGTCATGGGGGAAAAACGATTTGGAATCACAGCCAGGGCAGCACCAGCAGAGAGTGAGGCCAGAGCACGCCCCAGTGAGAGAAGAGGCAGGAAGTTTTATGAAGTGATGACACTGTAAATCACAGAAAAATCTCTTATACCAGCAAAAGCCAAATGACATTTCTAGTTTTGCTTTCTTCTGAGCATCTGCAAGAGGGAAAGAGCAAGTGGAGATAGAGGGAGAGTTTAAAAGTGGAAAGCAGTTCTGAAGACATCTTATAAAGATGGATTTGGGGTGCTTTGATATGTTTAAATTCTTACAGCCACTGAAAGTTTCTGATAGAAGTTTCAGGATTCACTTTACACACAACTATTCATGTGTCCAGCATACAACTAAAGATACATTGCATTTGCATAACCTCATAGCTAGTTTGCAGCTTTCAAATATTACTGGGGGAGATTGGTTTTGGGGAGGATTACCCAGGATCTGACACTCAGAAATTAGTATTATATTTTAATAATTGTGTTAAATTATCAGAGTTGAGACCCTGAGTTGGATCGATCAGGTCAAGATTCAGTTGGAGATCAGGAAAAATTTATTCACTGAAAGTGTGGAGAAGCACTGGGATGGGCTGCTCATGGAAGTGGTGGAGTCACCATCCCTGGAAGTGTTGAAAAAAATGAGTCAACGTGGCACTTGATCATATGGTTTAGTGGGCATGGTGGGTGGGATTCACTCAAAGTTTGGACCTGGTGATCTTGGAGGTATTTTCCAACCTTAATGACTCTATAAGAAGGGTATCAGAATTTTTCAGATTACACTTTCCAAACTACACAACTGGAGTGTTGAAGTGTTGAAGATTTGGAGGGGTTTTTTCCCTGTTTTTTTTTGTCTTAAAGAAGGCCTTGGGTTAAGAGCTCTGGGATTGCACCTGGAAAACCACACCACTGGCTGTGCCAAGTCCCTGTTTCCCCTATTTTAAGGCACCACAGGCACACCAGACCCCACAACACACCCACCCCTCGCTCGCAGTGATGCAGCTGGAGGAGCATCTGCCACCTCTGCCAAGAGAACACTTGCAGCCCCCCTTTCCCCCCTAACAGGAATCCTGCATCCCCTCCTTCCCGCGGGTCCCGCATCCCCGACCCCCCTTGCTCAGCGCACCCCTCAGCCGGGGGGTCCTGCATCCTCCACCCCCGGTGTCCCACACCCCCTACCCCGCTCCCCCCCGCACTCCGGGGGTGCCGCACACGGGCCGCGGGCTCTCTCCGGGTGACACCTGCCGGCGGCTCTGCGGGCGGGCGTGTGCGGGAGAGCCCCCGCGCCGCGCTCCGGAGCATCCTCTCCCCCCTCTCCACACACCCACCCACCCACTCATCCACCACCACCACCACCACCACCACCACCTCCCCGCCCTGCCCTCGCCTTCACCGCCCCCTCCTCCCGGCGCTCTCCTCCCGCGCGGTGCTGATGCTCCGCCGCTCTCCGCGGGCGCGGTGCTGATTCTTCTCCATCGCCGCCGCCCCGCGCCCGCGCACTCCGCGCGTCCCCGCGCCCCGCTCCCGGCAGCCGCATGGCCGCGGAGGCTCCGGGCGGGCGGCCGCGGCCGGGAGCGCCCTGCGGAGGTGAGAGGAGGGGGGTCCTCGGGGGTGGAAAGGCACCGTGGCACCGTCCCCCGGGGGATGCTGGAGGGGGGTGGGGAGGGGGAGCACCGGCCGCGAGGGGTGCGGGGGACACCGGCCCCGGGGCGAGGGGGAGCGAGGGGCAATCGCGGTGCCCCCGGCTGGGCTCCCACCTCCCCAATCCCCCGTGTGCCTCCCGCCCCTCGCGGATGCCGCGATCCCGCCGTTCCAGCGCCGTGCGGAGCTGGGCTGTGTGCAGGGAGGCGAGGCGATGGCCGGGCGGCCGAGCTCCGCTCGCTCGTGTACGTATCGCTCTGACTTTATGGAAGTCACCAACTATCGCCGCGGCGCATCAGTCGCCGCCGGGAGCTGCCCGGCGGAGCAGGGCAAGGCTGGCTCGCTCTGAATTGGGCTTGTAGTTATTCACTTAATGGAGATGCGCCGGCAAACAGATAAATGAGAGGGGCTGCCGGGTCTCTCTGAGTGTGCCGAGTCCAACTTCTGACCGTGGACGAAAGAGAGATGATGAGGTGGTGTGGAGACAGGACTGGTAAGAGCTGCCAAGGAGCAGGGCAAGCCAGAACAGCAAGACAAGGGGGAAAGGGAAAGGCGGTGGGAAGGCAGAGGGGAGAAGGAGAAAGGGAAAGATCAGTATAAATCTGAATAATTTCTTTTTATTGCTGAGTGTAGCCTCCCGCCCTGGCGGAGGTGTTGGTTGTAGGTTTGTGATGCTGGAGGGATAGCTCGTTTTCTTGTCTAGAAGGAACCTCTCCTGTGCTGTCCCTGCCTGACAGAGGGCCAGGGACACACAGGGAAGCTCCGGGAGGGACCCGTGAAGTTCATCCCGTACTTTTCCCCCCTTCATCCCCCCCTTGCCACTGCTGGCACATTAGCATGCAGGGTAGGCTCTGTGTATTTAACGACTCCATTTGCCAGTGTCTCTGTCAGCTCACACCGCCCTTCTCCAGCCGCGTTCCACAACCTGCCTCCCTGGACCAGCCGGGTCCATCTCCCTGCTGCGGCCACCCCAGCCGATTCTCCGGGACCCGGGTGCCATTCCCGGCTGGATCAGGCAGCCAGGGAGAAGCTCCGAGCGGTCCTGGAAGGGGAGGGGGCAAAGCGAAGCGAGCTCAGGCGAGAGAGGCAGGGAGAGCCTCCGTCTCGGCAGTAATGAGGGAGAAGCTGTTTAGTCATCTCTCTATATATACTTTCACAATGATGATCGCATTTACTGATTGCTTCTGACTGCATGTAGAGAGGGAGTCAAGAGGCAGGCAGCACAGTTCACCTCGTATCCTGAGGAGTGACTGCTCCCCCTTCCTTCCAGTTCCCCACGTTTAGCCCTACTTTTGGGCACCGGGTGTCTTTCCTTGCCAGGTAAGGCAGCGCTGCGAGCCGGCAAGATGGGGCTCTCTGGGCTGACTGGGAGGGAGGGAGGGGAGAAGTTTGCATGCATTCATCCTAAGCCTGTTGCTTTTGCTCCTAAATCTCTCCACCAGAACGAGGGAGCGAGCGTTTTGCAGAAAGTTTGATTTCCTGATGTGGTGGTGAAGGGAAAGGGTGTGTGACTGACTGAGGATGTCGAGTCTTGGCTGACATATTTTGCTTTAAAGCAAATGTCTCTTGGCTGCCTGAGCCTGACCCAGCAAGGGCAGGGAAGAAGGAATGATGTCAAGGCTCTTCACTCCCATTATCAGTGTCTCATCAAGAAACTCGCAGTATGTTTGTGGGGTGGATTTCAAATCATCCCTGCCTGCTGCTAGAAAGGGAAACACTGAGATTTTTGGGTTGTTTCTGCTTTCGTGAGAGGATGAAGAGACAATTCTTAAGTGTGGCACTGCCGGGGGAGCTACTGGGGTAAGAATCCAGCCTTTATTTCTTGACCCTTTAGGTGAACAGATATAACTGTTCTTTGAAGTTTTCCTCCAGAGCTTCCCTACCTGCCATGCCTGTCAGGTTTTTATTTCCAAGTGGGATGAAACCAGGGTGCCCACGGAGTGGCTGCAGCACAGACCAACCTTGGGAGCCAGCGGTGGTCGGGAGGGACCCCAGTGAGGTTGGAGGTCCTGGGAGGGGGACAGGGGGCTCATGCCTCAGCCTTTTCTATCAAATTCACCATTTCACTGTCCTCACAATTATCTCTAAAGAAAACAGACTCCCTTCTCTACAGATGCCGACTTTTTTAAATCAGGAGGTAAATTATTTTATCTCGTGTACCAGGTCTTCTAAATGTCATCAGCAGGGTGCCAGTCTGCTGTTAACTAGTTCCTTTCAAATTACACGCAGAAATTACGGTAATTAAAATTAGAAATATGGGTATAGCTAAATATATGCTTGTTGGAATTAGAGTATGTCTATTTTCTATGTGAGCTCAAGAGACTCTGTGGACAGTACAGTAGGTTTTGAGTCCAGCCAGTTGCTTTGCAGCCTAAACAGGCTGGATAGCAGTTACTGAAACCCAGGCTGGCAGAAAAGGAGGATTCTTCCCCCATTCTGTAGGTAAACTAGTTACTTCATCTTTTTTTTTTTTTTTTTTTTTTTTTTTTTTTTTTTTTTTTTTTTTTTTTTTTTTTTACTCAGCTTTAGGTTGTGCAGCCCTGAATTACAAATCCAGTCCTATCTCTCTCCTAATTTTCTGTCTCTTGTTTCGGGGACAGGTGAAGTTCCAAGGGTTTATGGACAAGGAAAACCAAGACTTTTGTGACTGGAGATTTCATTTCTTTTCTTCCTCTCCCTCTTAAGAAAAGTTATAGCCAAAAAAGACTTTTTGGGCTGGTTTTTGTGGATCAAATGGAGCAGAGTCAGTGCAACTTAAAAAACTAAGCTGTGCATGCTCTGTTTTCTTCACAAGCTGCATCTCTTGGTCCCAGAAAAATGGGAACTAAACTTTCACAGATGAATTCCCCTCTCTTTCTCTTGTGCTTTAATATCCTGTCCACTTCACAGCCCGGATATTTATAGCTTCCCTACGCATACTGCCAGCATGGAAGGACCCATTTTATCTTCAAAAATTGATTTAAAAATGTGTAAGTCACTTATGAGTTGCCATTGCTTTATTAGAACAATTATATGTGAAGTATTTATAGTGCCTGGGAGGCTAATGTAGGTAACCTGGAATCCACAACCAAAGTTATGAAAGTACAGAAGAGGTTTCTAATGCAGTTCCCCTGAGAAATCAGGGGAGATGAGGATCCAGTGTGAGGAAGCTGGTCAGGTCACCCTGCATCAGTCCTGGTAGAAGGACTGTGGTGGTGTTAATTGAAATTAAAAAGCAGAGAAGACAGATCACCAGCAGGGAAAGGAGGAACAAGGTGTTTTATCTTGGTTTCTTGGTTGTTTGCCTGGATGTATTTGCTGAGAAATGAATGAAATAGTTGTTATTTTGCTGCCTCTTGTTCTCAAGTGTTTGATAAAAGTGAAAAGATCCACCACTGCTGGCGGGAGGCATCTGCCTGAGCCCACTGAGCCCCCTGGAGATGCCTCCTCAGCTGAGAACTGGGGGATCTTTTCAAAGTCACGCAAAGAAACTTTCTGTGCCTGGCACAGACGACAGAGCCGGGTCCCCAGGGCTGCCAGTCTGGCACCATTAACGCAATAAATTCCCTCTTTAGGGCGAGAGGAAAAAGTAGTGCTTTGTAACGCTGAACAATCCTTAGCAGGGAAATGTCGTGGGATGCTTGCTCCAGTGCCATGTAGATAAGCAAAGTGTCTCCTTGGGATAAGCATCGCTGTGGATTATTATACGTTCCATAATTACAAAAACCCTCTTCCAGCGGCAGCGAGACGCTCGCAACGAGGGATTTCAATTGTCCTTTAGACAGCACAATTGCATAGAAAGATGCTCCACATTAAGGTGATGAATGTTAATTTGCCCTGAGGAGGACGTGCCTTTCTGTGAGCGGTTCAGTCGTTTTCACCACAGATGGATTCCGTCATTTTTTTTGTTCAGTATTTTGATGGCCTGTTGAAATCAATAACGCTGCAGCCTCACTGGCTGGAATGGCAGCTTTCATGTAGTTTAAAAACTTTAGAGGAAAACTACCTATAAAGGCACAATTAAGCTTTGAGGGCCTGAGTCAGTGAAATCAATGGAATTTCCATTGATAAATCGACTTTTGATAGGGCTCCTAATGCAGCTTATATGATAATGGCACCTTTCTTCAGATAATTTCATAAGGTAGAGTTAGAAAAACATTAGGGAAATGAAAGTCAGTGCAAGTTAAAACAAAAGTTAATGACTGCAAGAACTCTGACCAAAGATCAAAAAAATAAAGAAAATTCACTGTTAGATCAGAAGCACAAAAACTGCTTGAACTTCAAGAGAATATTGGCTGAGGATCTGGACAACTTGGGGTATTTTTCATCTAAAAATCCAAGAGTGCAGTGAACTGCACTATTAGTTGTTTCAAACTAATAGTCCTTCAGTTCTTCAGCTGAAGGACTTCTGTCCTCTGTTAGCCAGGAAATAAGCAGGGAATTCCTGCTGGAGGGAAACTCTCCAGCTTTGGGGGCTTCCCTCATTCTGATTTGCTTGGTACTCGGTAGTTTAATCCATGAGCTTTCACACCTGGGAGTGAAGTTTGCTGTTGCTCAGGTGTTCCGAGCAGTGTTTCCCTGAAAGCCAGGACATTCCCCTGGTCTGGAGAAGGTCTGGAACTCTCCACAAGGGTAAAACCCACCTCTAAATTAGAGAGAGCAGCACAAAACTGCTGCTGAAGCCAGGCCCTGCCTTAAAGGTGGAAGAAAAACAGTGAAAACTAGAGATTTTTTTTTTTTTTTTCATTCCTTTCAGCCGAGGATGTTCTTAGTGCAAGATTCAGAACATATTGAACTTGTTTAAGTCTGGAAACACAGCTGAGCCCAGCCTGGGGTTTTTGTGGTGTAGGATTTCACGGGGTGAGCTGCCAGCTGATTTCACTGAAGTTCCCAGCTCTTTCTTGACAGCTGTAGTTAAACTGATGAGCACACGAGTCTCACACCTGGGGAATTATGGATTAGTCTTGTTTGTAAGGAAGCAAATATAAATTACCGTGTTTATGCTACTTTTAAAATGCTTTTAATGAGGAATCATTTGCTATTCAAAGTTTCAGCCTACAATAATGCCATAACCTCGCCGAGCTGATTATCGTGTGCCTTGTTTAACATCCCTCTTCAACTGGGAGGTGAGGGCGAGCCAGTTGTTTCAAATTCTTGTGTCTGACACCCAACTCTTCAACACACCAGGGCCAGACACCCCCTGCTTGACTGTGTGCTGTGCTCTGTTTTGCTCTGTGTTTTAGATGGGACTGATCTGACTCGCAGCAGGTCTCGGGAGCATCCTGATTGTCCTCTCCAGTAACAAGGCCTGGGCTCATCATGGCAGCAGGAGTAGCAGCGTGGTTGCCCTTTGCCAGGGCGGCTGCCATAGGATGGATGCCAGTGGCCAACTGCCCCATGCCACTGGCACCGACGGAGAAGAACAAGAGGCAGGATGAGCTGATCATTCTCAATGTGAGTGGCAGGCGATTCCAGACCTGGAGGACTACACTGGAGAGATACCCGGACACTCTCCTGGGCAGCACCGAGAAGGAGTTCTTCTTCAACGAGGACACCAAGGAGTACTTCTTTGACCGGGACCCCGAGGTCTTCAGGTGCATCCTAAATTTTTATAGAACTGGCAAGCTGCACTACCCCAGGTACGAGTGCATCTCTGCCTACGACGAAGAGCTCGCCTTCTACGGGATCCTCCCAGAGATCATCGGGGACTGCTGCTACGAAGAGTACAAGGACAGGAAGCGGGAAAACGCGGAGCGGCTGATGGACGACAACGACTCGGAGAACAACCAGGAGGGGTCCATGCCCTCGCTGAGCTTCCGGCAGACCATGTGGCGAGCCTTCGAGAACCCCCACACCAGCACCTTAGCCTTAGTCTTTTACTACGTCACCGGTTTCTTTATCGCCGTCTCTGTGATCACCAACGTGGTGGAGACTGTGCCCTGCGGCACCGTGCCCGGGAACAAGGAGCTTCCGTGCGGGGAGAGGTACGCCGTGGCTTTCTTTTGCTTGGACACGGCCTGCGTGATGATCTTCACCGTCGAGTACCTGTTGAGACTCTTTGCGGCCCCGAGCCGCTACAGGTTCATCCGAAGCGTGATGAGCATCATCGACGTGGTGGCCATCATGCCCTACTACATCGGCCTGGTGATGACCAACAACGAGGACGTCAGCGGGGCCTTCGTCACGCTACGGGTTTTCAGGGTTTTCAGGATTTTCAAGTTCTCCCGCCATTCCCAGGGCCTGAGAATCTTGGGCTACACCTTGAAGAGCTGTGCCTCCGAGCTTGGCTTTCTCCTCTTTTCCCTCACTATGGCAATCATCATCTTTGCAACTGTGATGTTTTATGCGGAGAAAGGGTCCTCGGCGAGCAAATTCACCAGTATTCCTGCTTCCTTTTGGTACACTATTGTAACCATGACAACACTGGGGTGAGTAGTACTTTTCCTTTCCCTGAGCAGCAGGCAAAAGCATGTACGGGGAGCTTGACTTCAGCTGCTCCTCAGCATTTCCCTGGGTGCATGTTCGAGGAGGGTCGGGAACCGCTGAGGGCTCGATTGTTCTTTGCCTCACAACTTGTGCGGCTCGGGGGAAGTTGTACAGGACGGGGAAAAAAGCGTTTCCACCCGCTTGACAAACGCTTGGCAAGGGGGTAAATGAGTGCAGGAGGGTGGAGTAGCAGGTCCCGATTCACACTCTTGCTGCGGGAGAGGGAAGCTGAGATGGGTGCAGGGGAGCTGGCAGAGAGAGCTGCTGGGGTTTTTTTCTGGTGTTCATTCGAGCCGTGGGTTTCACACAAAGTCGTTTTGTGATGTGTCCGTTGCGCCTCTCCGCGATGTCGGTCGTTGTTCCTTCTCTTGACACACCAGGAACCCCAGATTTGCTGAGTTCGGGTGGATGTGGTGGGTCAGTGCACTGGAAATACTCGGGGGTCTGGTTTTCACTCAGTTGAGCAGGATGTGGGCTTCTTGTCTGGGTGTAGCTGTGAGTTTGAAAACTGAGTGTGCCGTGGCGGCTGCAGCAGAATTTCAAACATTCCCATGGACAGGTACAAAGATAATGGAATCAAAGCGAGGGGAATGTAGCCTGGAGGGCACTTTTTTTCCCCTTACATTTCATTTCTGTCTTACAGATGTTTCTGCTGAGATTATAGGTTTGTGCTTCTGCTGCTCTGGACTAAAACCTTTGCAAGCAGAATAGCCAAGCCCTTCACCCTGACAAGGTTATGTAAAGGAAAGTGGGCATTGCAGGCCGTGCAAAGCTGTGATCGAGGGCAATCTCTCCATTCCGCACATCAGAACAACATACTGAGTTTATGGTTACTTTACTGAGAGTTTTTCCCACTGGAGAGCTCAAAGAGTTTTAATATTCAGATGTAGACAATTCTTGTTCTTGTAATACTGTGCCCACTTCTTCTCTAAACTGCTTTTGACTTTAAACACTTCCCTGTGCCCATTAGACATGAGCAGGCTCACAGTAGCACTTTTAAATTATTAAAATCATAATTCAGCTGTCAGAAAGGTGCCAAATCTGGGCATGTGACAACTGAAAGTCTGAATTCCTTCATTAAGCGCAAATGTAGAACCTTTTTGTCATAGTCACCTAAAGATCTCTTATTCCTCCTTTTTAATATCTAAGCAAAGTGTGCAAGTTTATGGCAAAAGCTGCTCCTTATCCTGGGAAAGTCAGAAATCAAAGGTGGGCTTTGCAGCCCAGCACTCCCCCACCCTGTGGCTCAGCTTTCCATACTCTGACTGGTCCATACTGGTCAGTTCTCACCCTCCTGACCCCACCAGCAGCTTCAGAAAAACACCTGCCCTGGGTGGCTCCTTTGGGTGTCCTCTGCAGGAAGGGAAAGGCACGAAAATCTAGTTCTATTCTGGGGTTTCTGTTTAATAATGATCACACCCCTCCCTCTATCTACACACTCCTGTGCCCATTCACACTTCTGCTGTTAGATCTTTGTGACAGGACAGTTGGGGTCAAGGGGACGTTCCCTGTTGGCTGGGAACAAACCCAGTACGTGCAGAATGTGCTGGGGAGGGGCTGAGTCTCTTCTCCCATCAGTTTTGGTGTCCTTCCCTCCCCTTTCTGAACGCACAGACCAACAAACCAAAGTGCTCCCGAGGACCTTGAAGTGCTCTCAATCTGTTGTAATCACAGAAATTATGGGTAAATGAGTGCTTTAAATGAGCTGACACGGGTTTAAGAAATTAGACATTCAAACACAGCTTTGTAAAAATGCATCGGGAAGGGACCTATAAAATGCTGTCAAAGTCTTAAAGCTTAAACTTGTAGTATTTGAGATTTTTTTTTTTTCGTGTTAGAAAGCAAAGTTGCAACCATGAGCCATAAAAACCTTGATTGCTGCCAGACCAGCTCTGCAGAGCCCCCCCCTCCAGACCCCCCTGGAGAGGCATTTTTGGGGTTGGTCAGGTCTGTGCTGGGGTCCCAGCACTGGTGGAATGAGGCACTGGCTGTGCCCACAACTCAGGCAATATTTCATATACATCTCTCTTCAGAAGCCATTTCAGTATGTTTGGAAGGGTCTTGTTAATGAGAGTACTGGCAATTCCCATCACAGAGAGGTTGCCAAAAATGCAGCCAAGGTCTCCTAATCCATCAGACTTTGCCTACTTGGTGCTTGCCAGTTCACTGCTTGTATTTCAGCAACAGTCAGAGATTTTAGCGGTACCTTAAATATTTTCTGCCTTTTGCCTTTAATAATTCAGCCAGCACTTAAAGCAAGAGATTACAAAGCACAAAGGTTTTTAACTCAGAACTGTACACATATATTTCGTTTTCAACCTCTGATACATTTAAATCCAGATGAGTGAATGTTTCCCTGACATTGGAATCCCACTGTTGCCTTGACAGAGTGCTCCATAGGAGTGATTTGGAATATGCAGGATAACTTTTCCCACGTTATTAAGACCTTAAAAATTAGCCCCATTTATATAAAACGGAAAGTTTACTTACAACAAACAAACAAGGCAAACAGTAGGAAAGCATTAACCCTCCCACTGTACTGTGCATCAGCTGCTGTTCCAGTTTCCTAAGTATCCTGAGGCTACAATCGATTTTCCAGATTGACCCATAAATAAAAAGCAATAAAAATGCTGTTCTTCTGGAAGGTGAAGCACTGCATCAATAAATAATTGCTGCTTTTGGTGGGGTTACTATGCAAATCAGTTCAGAGAAATCCAGGGTGATCCAGCTCCTTAGGTAGTTAACAACCCAAGGAGACAGGTACAACAGTTTTTCTGGAATGGGAAACAAAGCAAAGGAATTAAATTATACTGACCCTGCATCTCTGATCCCTCTGCTGTGCTCATCAGCCCTGGTTTAACAGAGGCTGTTTTTAATTTAGCACGATTTAAATTTTGCTCAGGAGGTTTTATAATGAAAGCATTATTCTTGGGTGCATCTTAAATCAATCTGAATTACTGAAACAACTATTCAAAATTAATTCAAAATCAGCTCTCCAATTCATGCAGAAACATTTTTCTCAAGAGGCCAGCAGATACCCATCCTCTCTAAAGCGCCAGTACAATAAGCACTGGTCTTGCCAGGACTCTTGTTGTGTCCTGCAGGAGGTTTTGACCCCCAGGGCCCCCCATCTCAGGACTGTAAATGCTGCTGAAAGCAGGGGAGGAGCACAGTGCTGGTCCCATCTAGGTACTCACGTGCCTGTCCTGGTTTTTAGCCAGCTTGGTGGGCAATAACCACTGGTTTTACATCTGCTTAGTAATGGTTTAATTATAATAAATTTGGTTGCCTTGTTAGCGGCATGTTGGCCTTCGTAGAATCCCACAATGGTTTGGATTGGCAGGAATCTTAAAGCTCTTTTATTTCCACCCCCTGCCACGGGCAGGCACACCTTCCACTAGCCCAGGTTGCTCAGAGCCCTGTCCAATATTCAGTTTTATTCCCACTGACAGAGTGCTGTGGATGGGGCAGCCTCGTGTTCCGCTGCTGCCCCTCCGTGCGCATCACAAACACAGCGGGGAGATGAGACCTCTCCCACACCGCTCAACCCCACGCCGCTTTTGCCCAGAACACATGTTTTTTCTAAGCTTTTTATAGCTGTTTTCATTTCACCTGACAAGAGCAGTATGTTTCAGACTCCTGGGCAGCGTGTACGGCCTGCAGCGAATTGTAGCTGTGAAAACCTGAGTGCCACGTCTACCTGCACCTCCCTGGGCACGGAGAGGCTCCTGAGGGTCCCTTTGGGTGTCACAGCTGGGCTCCCACTGAGCCCCAGACAGGGGAGTAGAACCCCAGAATGGTGCAGGTTGGGAGGGACTTTAAAGCTCATCTCATCCTACTCCCTGCCATGGGCAGGGACACCTTCCACTAGCCCAGGTTGCTCCAAGCCCTGTCCAACCTGGCCCTGGACACTTCCAGGGATGGGGCAGCCACAGCTTCTCCCTGGGCAACCTGTGCCAGGGCCTGCCCACCCTCAATGGCAAGAATCTCTTCCTAATATCTATTCTAAATCTATCCTCCTTCAGCTTAAAGCCATTTCCCCTTGTCCTGTCTCTCCAGGCCATTGAAAATGTCCCTCTCCAGCTCTCTTAGAGCCTCTTGAGGTACTGGAAGGTTCTACAGGGAGGGAATATCCATGGAGGGAATCATCACAGAGATCTTCTGATCATTTTTGTCAAGAAACCAGCAAAAATACAGACCAAGAGACAGAGATTGATGATGGATTTTGTTCTGGCTGAGCTTAGGGATACACTGTGTGGTCTTCTGTTGCCTAACGAAGGCCGAGCTCCCACAGCTCAGCGCCCTCGGGGCGGTCCTTGGAGAATCCATCTCTGTCTCTCTCCCTCTCCATTTGCAGGAGCACAATGCTTTTGAGAACACTATCCCTCTTTCAGAGCTGGCTGCACTGGTCAATGGGTTTGAAAGACACACATCAGTGCTCTTGGACAACACAGTCCCATCTGTATAATTCATTTAAGGAACCAGGTTAACGCTGGGAAGTCAATAAAACAGCCGTGCTGGCCTGGTTATGTCAACAGCCTGATCTGGAGCAAGAGCTGAAATTTCTTAGAGGTTTTATTAGCCGAGTGCATGGAGAGCAGGGGTTTGGGGGTAGGGTCTGTTTTGGTTTGCCTTGGCTCAATCCAACCCCTGCAAAACGTGGATCAGGGAGAACTCGAGCGAACAGGTGCCTGAGCAGCCCCTCTGACAGAAACATCACTCTTGGTTTTGCTTATTTCTCAGTTGGGTTTTTTAGCTTTGTTTTTTTTTTTTTATTGGTGTTCAGTCAGGGAAAAGGAAGGGGCTGAGATACAGGCAGTGAAATGGAATGTGAAACCCTCGCTGCCAAAGTGCTGACAGCTGGGCTGGCGTGAACGCGCCGGATCCTGAGCGCGCTGCCGGGGACCGTGTGACCAGAGCTCGCTCTGAGCTGATGCCCCCA